TTTTGGGATAATTTCGTAGGGCCCCCAAAGTAACTAACTGGGTTGTTCAGTTGCCTTCCACGAGGGTCCAGGAATAAGCTCAAAATTGCAGAATGTAGAAAAGAAAAGGTCTTTATCCTCTTTTACTTGGCCACAGGGCATATTCAAGGAAACTTCCATTCTTTTTATAATGCCTGAGACAATTATAGAAATAAAGTGAGTTTTCTTTACCCCATAACCCAACATTTGGATTATTTTATTTGCTTATAATATTTTATCCCATTCAGATCTGCAAAGATATGATAAGAGGATTGGGAGATTATGACTCCAAGGGACTCTGTCAATCTAATCAGCATAGCTTAATTGAAGTAGTTCCTGAAGGCATTTTACTTCGACATACATGACCTTGAATATTTTCCAGCGCTTCCTGGCAAGCCAACAGCTCTTTATACTGTATCTTGTTTTATTTTGAATGACTAATTTATTTCTCATTTGCTTTGATTCTTTCTTGTTTTTTAACTTTTTCTTAAATATTATTAGATTTTTTTTCCTCCATGTATTCTGCTTTGTCAGTATACTCTAAGACAGAGGTCTCCAACCTTTCCGGGTTCGTGGCCCGGAGGGAAGGAGAACAGGTTCCAAATTGGTGTGTGTTCACACAAACGGTGCCACGAGCTGGTGTGGTACTAGTAGCCCTGTTTGCACTTGTGCAAAAGGGCCGCGCACACCAGCCTGGGCTAGCATCCCCATTCACACATGTGGAAAAGGTCCATGCACACACACCTGGCGCTAGCTGCCCCATTCGTACCCACACGCATGCGCAAACGGGCCCATGGGCGCTAGCGCAAATGGCAGGGAATGTGTGTGCATATGTGCGCATACCGGCCAGCCATTGCTATAGCCCACTGGCCAAGAGGCCGCAGCCCATAAGTTGGGGATCCCTGCTCTAAGAGATGGCAAGTTATTGTGTCTAACATAGGGGTGTCAAACTGCCGGCCCATGGGCCGGATGCGTCATCGGGAAACCACGCCCACCCCATTGCTGACAATGGCGAAAAAGCTCCGATATGTTGCGCGATGTCACGTGATGTCACAAGTTTGACATGTGTGGTCTAACATTACCAGAATCTCAAAATTGGTCACATCTTAGAAACATCTGATGGAATTACAAGAAGGAGAGTTATTGTCTATGTATTTCCCTTTTGGGTTGGGGTTTCAGCCAGACCTCATAAAGGGATGTATGGATAATTTTTCACTCAAAATCTCACTTCCAGGTTTAATTCACTTCTATAGAAATCAGAATTCAGAGGCTGTCTGAAGGATGTCTGCACAATTGGAACAGAACCCAAAGCAGAAAGACTCTCTCTGAGGTTTTAAAACTTAATTTTTAATCCTACCAAAACATTAGGAATAACAAATAACAATATAATTTGTATTTTTGCCTACTAGCTCAGGGGTGTCAAATTCGCAACATGACGTGATGTGTCGCAACATACCGTGACTTTTTTTCCATTGCCCATACTAACTTTTTTAAAAAAAAAAAAAAAATCACAAGTACTGTTTTCACAAATTTTGGAAGGCTAGAGAAATAAATAACATTATAACACATCACTATCTTGCCAGAAACCTTCAAGAAAAACAAAATAGGACGAAACCATAATCTCTACTGATTGCTGCTTTATTTCTTGAAACATTTGACATTTCAAACAATATTTTTTCAGTTTATACAGTCAGTCTTTTAATAATTATATAAAGCCCTGTTAATATTTTTACTAATAATTGCATTTTCTATTTCTCATTTTGCATTTTCTATTTCTCATTGTATCTCAGATAAATACTCAGATTCCAAGTCCAAAACATTTGATACATTTTATACTTGCAGCTTTTAAAAGGTTAATTTTTCATCATTCAGGATGGTTCTAGAAGAAGAACTCCAGGTGGAGTTTATATAAACTTGCTGAAAAACACACCTTGCATAACCAGTGAACAAATCAAGGTAAATATTACTTTCTACATTCCAATTTGCCTCATAGTTTTATACAACTTAAAAAAAAATTATTAATACAATATTCTGGCTTTACTTTCTCACATTCCTTTATATATTTCATGAAATACAGGTAATCCTCATCTTACAGCCACAATTGAACCCAAACGTTTCTGTTGCTAAGCAAGACAGTTGTTGAGTTTTGCCTCATTTTATGACCATTCTTGCTACAGTCGTTAAGTGAATCACTGCAGTTGTTAGTAATCCGGTTGTTAAGAGAATCCATTGACTTTGCTTGTCAGAAGGTGGCAAAAGGTGATCACATGACTGTGGGACTCTGCAACCATTATAAATACATGCCAGTTGCCAAGCATCCAAATTTTGATCACATGCATAGGGATGCTGCAAGGGTCTCATGAGTGTGAAAAATGGTCATACAGTGAGTCACTTTTTTCAGTGTGTTGTAACTTTGAACGGTCAGTAAACAAGTGGTTGTAAGTCAAGGACTTCCTGTCAGCTGTTTTCTATACCAATAACCCAGGCTTTCATTCTTAACTCTTACTATTGCAGAGGTTACTCTTAAGCAATTTCAGGTTCAACTCTTTCTCGTATAGCTGCAAGTATGCAAAAATGAACTGACAAAAAAGAACATTGTATACTCAAAATCAGCATTCCCTAATCGTTAAATTCTTCACTCTGCAGACAACTGCCTGTAAATATACTGTTCTAGTAATATAATGATGGAATAACCCAAGCTGACAAACTAGTAAATGATAATTGTCTTATTGTAGGCATGAGGCCTCTGTTGTAGTAAGTCAGCTAAATAACACCCCACTGTTGTGTTTTATATTTGGATCCTGTCCAACTTTATTTGAAAGATGTATGGAATTGATATTGCTAACTCTGCCTGGTGCCTTTCTTTATTTCAAATTGTAGGATGCCTATTCTTTTCATTCAAAGTTTGTGTGCCTTTTTGCTCTCTGTAAAGCTTCTTTGTAGAGTACATATTTAATGCGTAAAGAAGAAAAACATATGTAATCTTTAGAATGCATGGATTTCCAAAAAGTAGAAAGAAGAGAATGCCGAGTCTGTGGGCCGGTCCACTTTATTGCTTAGTGTCTCTCTTCTGAGGTAAAGGCAAAGGCGAGAAGCCTCATCTCTGCAAGGATGTTTTTTGGGATTCAAATTCTCCTTGTAGCATATTTCCTATCTACAATAAACTGGCTCATTCTCCTGCTTTTTTTTTTTTTTTTTGCCCCCTTCCTTTCAATAGATCCAAGGTATATCTCTCAATTTTTAGATACTCTCTTTCTCAATATTATAAATGGAGAGACATCTATTTTATTATAAAATTATTATTTTACAACAAGGCTTTCTTTTAACTTTATAGAGAAGAATACATCTTCAAGTAATTCTGCAGCAATATTTGAAAAAATAATGGCTTTTAAAAAAACTTGAGGGTTCTTTGTTAGGTAGCCATGATTATCTCTAAAAGTTGGTTAGGGCAATTGGTGTTTTCTGAAAGCTGCTTTTGTCTATTATTCCTTCTCACTTCATGGGGTATTAACATTCTCTTTAAAGGAAATCTTCTATATTGAAAATCAGAAGGAGTATGAGAACAAATGTGCTGCAAAGAAGAGGAGATTTCAAGTGCTGGGCAAAAAGATGAAGCAAGCTATTAAAGGACTTAATCTTCACGAATACGATGATGCCTCCCGAGAGACTTTTGCAAGTGACACAAATGAAGCCCTGGCTTCTCTGGATGACTTGCAAGAAGGACATGGGGAAATAAAACTTGATGTAGAACATGTTTTTGAAATAGATGAAGGTGATGCTATATTTTGTGCACTAGATACTTGAGGAATCAAAATCTTTTGATGTCTGTATTAATGGTCAATTTTATATCTTGTCATTAGTTGCAATAGTGCCTATTATGTGAATCAGTCAGGTGCTGGAAAGGATCGTTTTATTTCTCACAATTGATGCTTAAGTTTTCAGTTTGCTTCAGATCATGAATGCTGTATAGTTTCATTTATTTCATAACTTCAACAGATACTTAACACCTGATGTACATTCTTTCATTTCAAGGTTAGTTTAACATTAGAAAACAACTGAATGCTCTCATCCCAGAGTAAAACCTGTGTATGGAACTGAATGTAACTGCATGGAAACACTGTTTCATTTAACTAATAGTAATATAAACAAATATCACTGACATTCTGATATGGAAGCCTTTTAGCATGATCATTGTTTTCATGATGAATTTGGGAACAGGTTTTACCTATGAGCCAGATCGGTATTCAGTCTGCTTGCAAGATATTTTAGATGGAACAGTAAAGAATATAATGCAGCCATGTCAAATATTCTTTATTTGGATGCCCTTAACAATTGAAAAGACTGTTTCTAAAGAAGATATGCTCTTGTCCAGTTTGTCTCCTGTTTTAATGATAGAACCTGAGATTTTGTTCCTTAATACAAAATGGTAAATACTACATGTTGCATGCGTAGAGAACTTCAATTTCAGCTTACGTTGACCATTAGTTCTGAGGAAATCATATAAACTTGCAATAATTAAAACAGACTTTTCTCTTTTACAATTTTTTCAGTTTTCAGTTTCTTATACCTGAGTTTTGAGCTAACAATCCTGTATAAAATTAGTTGTACTAAAAGTAGACCACTTAAATCAGTGAATCTTTAGTTGTGACTTAGACTTAATTGATATCAGAGATCTGAAGAACCCCTCTGTTTGAATTCAGCCAGCATAAATGGGTAGAAAACTTGTCTCAGTTTCACATTTTGTTTTGAAGTTAATAATTCTGAAGATGGGAGTTGACTGTAAGATTTACTTAGCATTGTTCTTCCTATTAATTACAATAATTTTAAAGGAACAAAACAGTTAAGAAGTCAAGCAGCGCATTTGTCTGAATTATAGCAAGAGACTTATGTATCATAAGTCCAAGGTTTCACATTATTAGAGTGGAAATTGCAAATCTGGTTTAATTTTCATTTATAATATGTACAATAAATAAAATTATTGGTTTTTTTAAAATGTATTTATTCAATTTGCCCAGACTTTAGGATGTCAGTTGGCCTTTAAAAAAATGAAAGAGGTGGGAAAGTGAAATGAACTCTGTGTTGCTTAAATTATTCTGTCAATATATCAAACTTCACCACTGGTAATTAAGTCCTTGAAGTGCAACAGCTTCTTTCAGTTATATACAGTTATATAACAACTTCTTTCAGTTATATACATTTGCATATATTAAATTTTTAGTTCAAACTTACACAATGAGTTTCAGTGATTTTATTGTGAAAATAGGAGATGCTGCTGAACAAAAAAAAAAGTTTGTGTTTTTGTGTATTAAAAGGATTTGTACACTGAACTGCCTGTAGCAAAGTTATATTTTCCTCTAGTCTTCCTTTAGTACCTTGCGGTCTTTTCATTATGATGGGAATTCTTAGAAACCTAAAAGTCAGTGCTTCCTTTATAATCAGAAAGAAACCATATTGCCTTGGAATGATTTAATCAATTTTTAGTTATTGCTAGGATGTTTAAAAGATTTTTTAAAAAAATATTGGTGAAGTAGATGAGAGGTAAGGCTGTTCCTGTGGGATTGGTATTTGTCACGCATCCATTTTTTTCCCTTCATGTACATATTTGTTCCTGATTTGTGAATCCTTTGAGGAAGAAATAACGTATAAATTAGTATATATTTTATCAACGACCAGAGAAAATACAGGTAGTCCTCAACTTACAACATTATATTTGACTGTCCGAAGTTACCATGGCACTGACTTATGACTTATGAAAAAACTGATTTATGACCATTTTTCGCATGAGCATTGCATCATCCCCATGTGATCAAAATTCAGATGCTTGGCAACTGATACGTATTTATGACAGTTGTAGTGTTCTGGGTCATGACATCACCTTTTGTGACCTACCACCAAAGTCAAGGGGGAAGTCAGATTCACTTAAACTGTGCTAACTTAACAATGAAATGATTCACTTAACAATTGTGACAAGAAAGGTTGTAAAATGGGACAAAACTCACTTAACGGCTTGCTTAGCAATGGAAATTTTGGACTCAATTGTGGTTGTACGTTGAGGACTGCCTGTACAGCAGATCTGACCTCCCCAAACTCCTAGTCTCTTGGCCTTAGATACATAATGATATTTAGATACCAATGGCCTTAGATACATAATCGCTATCATCAATACTCACATAGCATAGTCAATTCCTATCATGCGTAAAATATTACATTTACATCTCTACTTTCCTAAAATGTTGCAGTATAAGTTGCACTCATAAGAATGGGAATGGCAGGAAGAGAGCAGTAAGACATCATAGTAGAAACCCACGTTATGTCCCTTTCTAATAATGAAGCTTACTAACTGCATACTCGCCAATAGACTTAAATTGGAAGCACAATTATGTTTGATAATTTAATCATATATAAAGGCTCTGTTGAATTAGTTTGATCTTCTCCCAAGATCAGCTAAGAACAACTACCTTCTGTCTTGCCCTGTTTCCTCTGATAGTCTAGGTTTTCAAAGCTCCAATGATCTTGATCCCATCCCCATATTCTTCTCTCGGTCAAGCCTACTATTCTTTATATTTTCCACCTGCATCAAAATATATAAGCATCTGCTTCCTCATCAATACCTCAGGGAAACAGTCAAAGCTTTGTTTGGATTTTGTTACATTTTAGCCATGTGTCGACTGAGAGGGCATTTCTTATTATTTGTGTCATCAACCTGACAATGGCTGATGCATCATAATCCTTGTCCTGATGCAGGCGCCAGTTTGCTTGATAGGTTACCAATTACAGAGTGTGGCAGTTCCTGCAGCATGAGCAGCCACAAAGCTGAACCCCCTGAGGGGTCTAAAACCAATAGGATTTCCAAGGGGGTCAATACAGACCTAAGAGGGTAAGACAGAATTTCAAACTGAACATATATTTGGGAGGATAAGAATGTATCTTCCAGCAGCATCACTCAGAAACAGATGGATTTTAATGCCCATTTTTTCTCAAGTGGGTTATTGTGCTTGCTTTTCAATTGCAGTTTATTATGCAAATAACAAACAAGCACAGAAGGTATTTTAGAAATGGAAGACGTTGAAGTTAATGATTAAGAATGCAGTGACCTTGCCAAAGGTCCCCAATTCTTTGTTCAGTAATCCTCTTTAAAAATGTAAATAAGAAAATGCTTTAGAAATACTAAAAACAAGCAACGTTTTGTGGTTATATTTTAAAATGTCTTTTTTTAACAATGTGAGAAGCTCATGTTCATGTTCTAATATGATTTTATATACATACAGATATCAATTTAAATCAGTCCTGTGACCAGCATCTTATCCAATAATAATTATTATAGTGTAATAATAATTATTATACTTCAGGAACCTTGGTACACATTGAGACAAAGTTACATTGACTTGCAATTTTTTTTTCATGCATGCATGCAACCTATTTGTTAATTCTTCAGCGGATTCTCAGCTGAACATCATAATATTTTATCTGAACTCATGAATTGGTTATGCTTGTTTGTGCATGCACATCAGGCCTTAAGGGTATACTATATTAACATGAAGTTACACAAGCATGAAATTTAAAAGCTGTAATTGGATCTTTTCCATTGAAAAGCTATCTTGTGCCAATTGCTTTTTCCCCCTTTTTTCTTATTTGACTATATTTGACTGCATTTTGTTTTATTTCCTATCAGTCCCATTTTTGCAAAATAAATGTTCTAGAATCAAAAGCAATTTATAAATTAGGAAAGAACAAGCATTTTTTTCCACTACTTGTATTCCATTTCCAGCACAAATTATCATTTCCCAAAGCACTTTACTGTAGAAAATGCAACATTTTGCATTTTTATGAAATAGTGTAAGGTGTACTTTATCCCTTAAATCTTTAGTATCCTAAGAGGAATTTTTATCTTACCGTAATTATTCTATTTTACTGAAAATTAGGACAGGATAATGGGGTAAAGCACCAAAATGTTCTCATATGTATTTTGAACTTTTTTATTTTTGAAGAATAATAGGTAACAAAGTATTTCAATGTTTTTCTCTTTAATATGGTAAACATTTTCTTTGAACTTACTTTTTAGTGTTTGTGGTAATGTGTGTAATGTGATCGTAACTTTTCCATTGTCTCATCTAGTGAGATGGTTGTTAACCAGAATGAAACTTAATAAAAATGTTGATTTTTATAAAAAGTTATTAAAAGTTTTTACAAATAAAAAAACAGCTTAAATAGTCCATATTATCAGAATGGGAAATGGTGAATAATAAAAAGGAAAATATATAAGTAAAGCATAATATTTTGTTTTAAATTTGAGGTATGTCTTTATTACAGAAGCTCGTTAAGCATTAGGTCTTCCTCTTGAGTTTCCTTAATGTGAAGAATCATTCTTTTTCTATAACATTCTTTTCTATAACATTAAGAAATGATGGATAAAGGTAAAGCTGATTTGACACTATTAGAATTTCAAAGATACAGATATGAATTGTTAAGGCAGTGGTTCTCAACCTGTGGGTCGGGACTCCATTTGGGGTCGAACGACCATTTCACGGGGGTCGCCAAACAAGGCTGTCCGCCATTTTTTCCCCTTTTCTTTGGCCACGCCCCTGGCACCCAGTGATGTAAAAGTGGTTGGGGGTCACCACAACATGGGGAACTGTATTATGGGGTCACGTCATTAGAAAGGTTGAGAACCATTGTGTTAAGGCAAGTAATTTACAAACATGTTGATGTTTGCTCATGCTTTGCTTTGAAAAAAATGGATTTGTTTAAAAAAATTAATCTGGCATGAATGATCAATAATGCAAAGAAATGTTTTAGAGACATTACATTATGTTTCATAGGCTAATATCCAATCCAGATGAATATGTTAAATTATCATTTTTTCCTACGAGTTTTCTTCATTTTACTTGAGCAAATTTGAAGTGGTAACTTGAAATGAATGCAGAAACAATTAAAGCATGCTGCACAACTAATGAAAGACAGCCTTGATTATTCTGACTGACTGGCACTATTACACCTCTGCGAGTTTTAGGAGCTAGAAGGAGAGCATGGAATATCATCAGTGGCAGTGAGAAAGAGACATTGAGATTGACATAGCTTGATCCCCAACTGACCTTCATGCTTTTTATATCTTCATGCTTTCTGCAGCCCTCTAGATGCAAATTATTATCATTTGTCTTATGGTACATTCATAAGATATTTCAGTAAAAAGGAACACAGGGCTAAAATACAAAACACAGAATATAAAATATGAAATCTTAACAGGAAGATTACAAAAGTATATAAAGTGTACAAATATAATTGGCATTGTGAGGGCACTTCATTGGTTGCAGACAGAAAATTAGTGAAATCTTAATTATAGATTCTGTTTTGACACTCTGTCACTATGTGTTGGATAGTTTGTTTTTCTGCTAATCTGCCTGTTTGTCCTACACACTGGCTGTACAATTCTTACACTGTATGTTGTAGTAAGATGACTCCTGTTTTTTCTTCTGGGGCTGCTGGGCCTTTTGGTTTACTTAGAATGTTTTGGATACCTTTATTTAGATTGTGTGCTAAGGTGAGACCATGTGGTTGCATAGTAGATTGTGAATGTTTTTGATGTATGGCAGTGTTATCCTTTTCACACTTTTATGCATTTATTTATCACCTCCTTACTTGCTTATTATATTCCCAGGTTTATTCACTGCCATTTACCAAGTTTTTCATGCAAACATGGGATGATTCCAAAACGGTATGTGATGCCCTGGAAACAAGATATGAAATACCGAGCATTACATTTGCAGGTAGGAACCAGGGAAACAATTACGCTTTTTATGCAGAACAACAAGGGCCTCATTTTTAACATGTAATAATTGTGTTTTACTCTGTCAATCATGTCTGATTCTCAGAGACTGGCTGGATAAATCCTTGCAGTTTTCTTGGCAAAGTTTTTCAGAAATCGTTTGCCATTGTCTCCTTGGAACTGAGAGACAGTGACTGGCTTAAGGTCATTCAGCTGGCTTTGTGCTATGGTGGGACTAGAATTCATAGCCTCTCAGTTTCTAGCCTGGTGCCTTAACCATTACACCAAACTGTCTCTCAATAAATACTTATTAAATCACTATTGAGTCCTATCAAATTTAATAGCTCATTCTTTCTTCTATTAAAGAGGAAGAAAATCATGCTCAACCTGATGTCCAAGGCAAACATGGCTCTTTACCCATGATTGGCCAGACATCCTTAATGAAACATACATGTATGCATGTATGATTTAATAAGATACTACTTTGAGTATCTTTCCAAGTACCACATTTTAAGGAGAATTCAGAAAATTCTGAAGTGGTTTGGGAAGGACAACAGTGATTAACTTGGGAATAGAGAGTGAATTTCATGTTGTGATTAAAGCACCAGACTAAAATCTGGGAAACCATGAGTTCTAATCCCACCTTAGCAGTGATGGTATTCAGCCAGTTTGCACCACTTCGGCAGAATTGGTAGCTAATTTTTTTTTGCCCCAGCCCAGAATGGACTTCCGAAAGTGGCATCCACACAGAGAACCGGTTGTTCACATATTTGACTCCCACCACTGCACCTTAGGCACAAAGCCAGGTGGGTGGCCTTGGACCAATTCATTCTCTCTCAGCCCTAGGAAAGAGGCAATGGCAAACCAGTTCTGAAATTTTGCCAAGCAAACAGTAGAGACTTGTCCAGGTAGTCACTACGAGTCAACACTGACTTTAAGTTACAATAACAACAACAACAAGGGAATGAAACAGCTGGGTAGAATTCAACTGAGAAAAGGCAATTGAGGAAAGTTAAGACAGTTTTCTGAATATCTGAATATCTGAAAGAAATTCAAGACCATTTTCCATCATTCCAGAGGATATAGAATAAAGGTCTGAAGTTACAGGAAGACGGGTTCTAGTTAAATGTTAGTGGTAGAAAACACTTTCAGAAAAATCAATTTGGTAATTAAATCAATAGCCCAGAGAGAGAGATGGTGCGTTTCCTTTCACTGGATGTATTAATCAGAAGTTAGATGGCCATCTGTCTGGGATACATCAATTTGAATTTTTACATAGCAGGCAGTTGTACTCAAAGACCTTTCCAAGTCTGATTCCACACAAACAGAACAGAGAGAAAAGGCATCTCCACTTCCAGAATTAATTATGACCATTTTATTTTATTCATGTAAGAGCTTTCCTCTTTGAAGAATACAGAGCCATGGGTATCAGTGATTTTTTAAAAAAACAATACTTTGAAGTTGGACAATATGGGTTGCAGGTATTCATTGGGGGCATCACATGCTTCAAGGAAGCTTTTGAAATTAAGACCTTTCAGATTAGATCTCAAGAGTACACACCGCGTACTCAGATAAATCCATTGTAATTTTTCTCTGCTCATGGACTTATAATACTAGTATACAATTATGATTAGTAATAGTATATTTTATGATTTGGTTTCTGGTTTGTTGTTCACCATCCAGAGACTCTTTTGACTGAACTGGTTGTAAAATAAAGGTGTTTACATGCATAAATATATTACAGGTAATCTTCGATGTACAACAGTTCATTTAGTGACCTTTCAAAGCTACAATGGCACTGAAAAAAGTAACTTATGACTGATTTTCATACTTACGACCATTGCAGCATCTCTGTGGTCATGTGATCAAAATTCAAACTCTTGGCAACTGACTCATATTTATGACAGTTGCAGTATCCTGGGTCATCTGATGCCCTTTTTTGACCTTCTGACAAGTAAAGTCTATGGGGAAGCCAGATTCACATAACAACCGTGTTACTAACTTAACATCTGCAGTGATTCACTTAACAAATGTGGCAAGAAAGGTATAAAATGGGGCAAAACTCACTTAACAAATGTCTCACTTAGCAACAGTTGGGCTCAGTTGTGGTCATAACTCAAGGACTACTTGTATTTCAAATAAATTAATACCAATGTTAATCATATCATTATTGGAAGACCCTTTCTACATGGATATAAAACAACTGATTTTCCTTCATTAGCATGCTGACCAGGTTGAACTATATAGTGGAGCCCGAGAAGACACCCTATTTCTGGAGAAGAGTGAGAGGCTTTGCCATGGGGAGGACCGAAAGAAACTTATGCAGAAAGTTCCACAAGAAGAAATTATTGTGGATATTCCCATTTATTCTCACCTCTCCAGATACCACAAATCCATGGTGGCTTATGGCTTCAGGATCAAACTCTGAGATTCCTATCTTCCATTGGGATTTCATCAGCTGTACATAAAACAATGTTACAAGAAAAAAAAAGCTGTGTTTTCTTGGTCTTTTTCCTAATTAAAATAATTCAGTGAAATATATATTTAAACTAGGAAAGTAAGATTTGATCAGCTAGGAATAATTTAAGATGTCCTTTCAGATATTTGCATACCTTTTTCTTTTAATATTAAAACTTTGCATTAGACTGGATTCTGTTATATAATTCTCACATTATTTATTAGTGTATTTTCTTGTTTGAACTATTTTTGTCTTTCAGTTTTTAATTTTAAATTCTTTAATTTACTCAGAGAACTTCAATTATGGAGAAAATAGAAGTGTTCGTTGTAACTGTTAAAATGTAAGACTTTTTTGTTATGGAGAAAATGTTCCTGAATTATATCAGAGGTACAGCATTGAAAAGTACATGGAAATGTAATTTTTATTGCTTGTTTAAAGTTAACAATTGCCAGAGAAATCCCTTTTGATGCTAAAGAAGGGCTTCATTCAAAGGTGAACTTTTATTTCAGAGGAAGGATTTACCTCAGAATAGTGTAAGGGGAGAAATGAAAGTAGGCATGAAATTTAATTGTTATTATGAAGAATATCACAATGTGTCTGATTTTCAAGTCCCCAGTGATTTAATCACCAAGGAGTTCATTTTACACCAGAAGTAGGATTATGGTTTCATTAGTAAGCCCCATTGACTCTTCTATTTTTCTCACTGAAACATTCAGGAGGGTTTTTTCCATTGCAAATGACTCTAAAACTAAACATGATTCCTTCAAAGCATCATTCTTAGAGTCTCTTTTAGAAGAAAAGAGTGGATTTACAAAAATTCTGCCTGGGCTTATTGCCATTTAGAACAAATATGCTCCCATGTATATTAGGGGAATGGATTAAAAAATGTTTTTTCTAACATTCTTCCTCTGATCTGGTGAGGAGGCAGGGCTTTTCATTGATAACAGAAACTTTCAGCTGGATCTTTATATGACAATCTCCTACATATCTCAAGCATCTCTATTAACCTCATGTTTGCTTCAAAAATGGAAGGAGCTTTCTTTACACTGAGTCCCTTAATAAGCAAATTATCCTTCTATGGGAGGCATTTTAAGGTTAAATGTTTTATCCTAAATAAAGAAATCCAATCAAGTGCTATATTTTATACTATATAAAAAACCCTCTCAGCACAAATTTTCTATTGCAAATTTAGCAGATTGGAGTGTTTTATGAATTATTCTTTTGACAGATTTGCTGTTTTACAGCAAATTAAATTAGGTCTGAAGTAATCTTCAATCTCTGTATTTTCTCAACATCTTCTAAACCACTGCAGTCCGTGACACATTTAGATTGATGATACAATCAAAGTCTACTTTTCAGCAACGCTGTAAATCAGATGTAGGAAAGACCTAGAGTTAGTAGGTGAAGAAATGCTGCCAATGGAATGGTCATCTGAGAGACAGCACAGCATGCAGCTAGAAAGTGGGAGAGGCAAGAAGAATTGTACTTTCAGACTTGTAAAATTGATATTGGCTTTGCTGGGTAAACCAGATAGGCATCACCACCAGATAAGCTAAATCTACTTTATTGTAAAGCTATATTGAAAGAATCTTGTTCTATAATTGCCCTATTCCAATTGCCATCTTGAGCACACACAACCCTACTGTGAATATACAACAGTACATTCACAGTATCTGCAGTCACATCAAAATCTACAAAATAGTGGATACAGCAATGTGACCCAAGCTTCACCTCTTTTGTATGTGTGTTGGCATCACAGGCACATACAAAAGGGGCAGGGGATGGATCACAATGACATACTTGTTGTCTTACAGATTTTGATCCATAGCCATACCCGCAGACTGTTGCTTTACACAGTCAGATGCCCCCTTCTAAGGCATGAAGATACTGGCCGTTAATATTTACTCAATATCTATTCAAAGAGAAAATATTTTCAAAATAAAAATCTGAAAGTACCATTAACAAACATGAATATTTTGTTTTTCAACCCACACATCTTCATTGTATCTCTAAGAAATAAAGAGACAAGCAATCACATTTAAAACTATGACATCTATCTAAACAAGCTGTAATTAAATTCACTATTAATCAGCGCATTTAAGGCTATACATTTCTGAAGAGGATTTAAAACATCGGCACTTATTCTATAGCTCATTAAGATACATCCTTTCTTATTTAAAATACAATATTAATTTTATGAAATGTAACTGTCATACCCTTGCATATATCATTTGCTTCATTTGAATCCTATGCATATTTATAAGGCATGCATTCTAAATGATTTTAAAGACCAACTTAATAAACTTGCAAAATAGTATTTCTCAATGGATTCCAAATGAAAAATGCATGAGCAACACAACGGGGAAAAGTTTAGCAGTGTTCCTTGCCTGTTCAGGAAATATAAATCTTTTCAGCTATTAAATTTGCTATGCCTGGCAACACAGGTGTGAAGTGAATAGAATACAGACAGAAAGGACCTTGGAGGTTTTTTAGTCCAGCCCCCTGCTCAAGCAGGAGAATCTATACCAGTGGTGGGGAACCTTTTAGAGACCGAGTGCCCAAATCGCAACCCAAAACCCATTTATTTATCACTGTATGCTGGGTGGGTGTGGCTGACTGGGTGGGCATGGCCTCGGTGGTCACAGCCAACTGGGTGGGCGTGGCCACAGTGGGTGTAGCCATCTTGATGGTGTTTGTGTGGAGGGATGCTTGTGGGGTCCGGGCAGGGTTGGGGGAGATCCAGGGGTCTCTGGCGGGTGGGGCGGTGGACCGGAGGCTCATCCTGTGGGGTAAGGAGAGGAGAGGCAGGGCGTGTGTGCTAATTGCTGCGGGGCAAGGCAAAGCAAGGCAGGGGCTGGAGCAGCTGCTGCCTGACACCATCAGCCCCCCCACACACAAAGGCCAGTGAGCGCATGGGGGCCGCCGGTGTCCATCAGCAGCCACAGCCTCCTGCATCATGGCAGCCCTATTGGCGTAAGCGGAGATGGCCCTGGGACGGCCAGAAGGAACCCTCACCTAGTGTAGGTCCTGTCTACAAGGAGGCTCTGAGGGGGGCGGTAGCTGCTGCTGCTCTGACCAGTCAGCCCTGCAGGGAAGCAGAAGGGGCAGCTGGTGCATGAATCTACTGCTTCGTTGGGCTGCTAGTGAGCAGCCGAGGCAGCTCCAGACCCCTGGCTGCCCCTCCACCTCCTGCTTCCCTGCATGGCTGACCAGTCCAAGCAGCAGCAGAAGCCACCCCCATCAGATCCATCAAGTGGATGCCGGGCAAGGGCTTCCTCCCCCCCATAAATCGGTAAGAAGTAAAACCTCTCTTATTACGGCTTAGTTCACAACAATAAAAAAAACCTTTGTTCCTGAGAATTTTTTTCCTAGCAGTCAAGCAGAAGAGCGGAGCCCCGAGGCAAGTGTCCCGGAGCCATTTCCGCCCACGTCTTTCTCATTCTCAATTCTCTTGCCCATGTGTTGTCTGTACCCCACCCCCCAATTGCTCTACGCTTCGCAGCCCAGGGAATGAGACTCACCCCCCCACCTCAGGGCTCCGCTCTTCTGCCTGGTGCTGGCAGCTCCATCATACGCAGCAGCCAGAACAAGAGGCGGGTCGCAGCAGCCCATTAATCTTTTTGCTGCATTAGCGCCCGGGGGCTTGCTATTTCCCCCCCTCCACCCAAAAATCTAGGTTGAGGTGCAAACCCAGCTCATGTGCCTTTGCTCAGGAGGAGCAACTTATTGCAACTTATTATGGTTGTGAACTAAGCCATAATAAGAGAGGTTTTACTTCTCGCCGATTTATGGGGAGGAGGAAGCCTTTACCTGGCCTGGGCGCATCCACTCGCGGATCTGACGGGGGTGGCTTCTGCTGCTGCTCTGACCGGTCAGCCATGCAGGGAAGCAGGAGGAGGTGGAGGGGCAGCCGGGGGTCTGGAGCCACCTCGGCTGCTCACTAGCAGTCCGTCAAGGCAGATTTGCGCACCAGCTGCCCCTTCTGCTTCCCTGCAGGGCTGACCAGTCAGAGCAGTAGCAGAAGCCACCCCCGTCAGATCCATCGAGTGGATGCACCCAGGCTAGGCAAAGGCTTTCTTCTGGCTATCCCAGAGCAATTTCCACCCGTGCCAATGGGGCTCTGTGGCCAGTCCGCCATTATGCAAGACAGCCAGCATGCTGTGGCTGCTGACAGACACCGTCGGCCCCCATGCGCTTGCTGGCTTCTGTGTGTGGGGGCCAATAGTGTCAGGCAGCAGATCCGGAAGCGAAACTCTGCCGACCATCCTTGTGCTGGCGGCAGCGATGGGGGGGGGGTAGGCAGGATCTGGCATGCGGGCACCCTTTGCTGCTACTGCCGCACATTGTCCCACATGTGCCTCCGGATGGGGAGGGGAGGGCATCTGCCACAGCTCACCTTCCCCCACCACTGCCCCTACCAGCATGAGGATGGTCAGCACAGCTTTGCTTCCAGATCTGCGGCCGGCTGGGCTTGGTGATGCAGGGATCACCGCCTCCTCCTCCTCCTGCTTCTCTGTGTGGTTGGCCAGTCAAGGGGCTCAGAGCAGCAGCCGCCATCCCTGTCAGAGCCACCCTGTAGGCAGGACCCGCACCAGGTGAGGGCTCCTTTCCGGCCGTCCCAGGGCTGTCTCCACTCACGCCGTTAAGGCTGCACTGAGGAAGGCAGATGGCGGCTCACTCACTCTCCCACGAAAACTGCTCCTTTTATATGTTTCCTCACCCTGCCCAGCTCTTGCAGCTATTCCCGGACTGTGCATGTGTGGAGAGGGGAAGGGGAGGAGCCCAGAAATGGCATGTGTGCTCACAGGGACGGCTCTGCATGCCACCTGTGGCATGTGTGCCATAGGTTTGCCACCACTGACCTATACCATCCCAGACAGGTGATTGTCTACTCTCTTCTTTAAAATCTCTAGTGATTGAACGCCCACGATTTCTGGAGGTAAGCTGTTGGTTAATTGTCCTCACTGTCAGGAAGTTTCTCCTTAATTCCAGGTTGCTTCTCTCTTTAATCAGTTTCCAACCATTATTTCTCGTCCTTTTCTCTGGTGCTCTGGTGAACAAC